TAGAGCCAAAACAATGATAATCTGTTATCACTTCCATTTCCCATAAAAAATCGCCTTTTTCAGTGAAAACATAAAAGTGCATTTATCTTGGAAACTATAAGAGATAGAGCCAGAACAATGATAATCTGTGATCACTTCCATTTCACATAGAAAATCGATTTTTTGAGTGAAAACATAAAAGTCCATTTATCTTGGAAACTATAAGAGATATAGCCAAAACAATGATAATCTGTGATCACTTCCATTTCACATAGAAAATCGATTTTTTGGGTGAAAACATAAAAGTCCATTTATCTTGGAAACTATAAGAGATAGAGCCAAAACAATGATAATCTGTGATCACTTCCATTTCACATAGGAAATCGATTTTTTGGGTGAAAACATAAAAGTCCATTTATCTTGGAAACTATAAGAGATAGAGCCAAAACAACGATAATCTGTGATCACTTCCATTTCCCATAGAAAATCGGTTTTTTGGTTGAAAACATAAAAGTCCATTTATCTTGGAAACTATAAGAGATAGAGCCAAAACAATGATAATCTGTGATCACTTCCATTTCACATAGAAAATCGATTTTTCAGTGAAAACATAAAAGTGCATTTATCTTGGAAACTATAAGAGATAGGGCCAAAACAATGATAATCTGTGATCACTTCCATTTCTCATAGAAAATCGATTTTTGGGTGAAAACATAAAAGTCCATTTATCTTGGAAACTATAAGAGATAGAGCCAAAACAATGATAATCTGTGAAATTGAGGCTGTTTCACAGTTATTTATAAGAACTATTGAAAATAATACTACTTATTAAATATTTTATTAATGAGGGAAAATTTGTATAAGAAACACGCATAAATTTCGGTAAAATGTATGAACCTTTTTTAATGCAAAATATTAGCAAGTGCCTTAAACATTTCAGTGCAGTGGTATTTTAGGATCAATAATAATATCGAGCTACTCGGGGAACTGGAGGATTGAGTAACTACCGGAATACATTTTATCTACTGACCTTAGTAGAGCTAATACATGCTCAAGTTCTTTATTTGAGGTTGTCTCTTGAATGAACGTCCTTTTTCGATTGAGTAGATCGACCACCAAAAAAAATTCTTGAACAGCTAACGTTATAGTCTTCCTAACTTGTATTGAATGACGAGATATATTTAAGTATATAAGAGACGCAATAAGGAGTTCGAGAAGATATACAAAATCCCAATCACTACCCATATTTCACAGCGTTACAAACGATGTAACATAATCAGTGTTGCCTAAAAAAACCTAAATATATTTCAATAGCATCAGTTCATTATTATGCAATTTTGAATGTTCAATAACATTTGATGACCAAATAAGAATGTTGACATTATTGGTTTTTTCTTGCTTCATTTTGCTCTCAATTATACAATGTCATCCACTACCAACGTTCATAATAGTAGAACTGATCTTAAAAAGCGATGAATTCAAAAAAGAACTTAAACTTAAAGTATCGAGAGAATATTAAATTTATGTGCAGCAGAGAACAGAAATACTAGTTAGCTTCGTCTATGTATAGCAGTTAATCTGCCCCATACAAGATTTTGAATAGTTATAAGTTAAGTTATCTCTTAAGAATGATCAGATGTCTCATTCTCGCATAGATGAAAATGTGATAGACAAGGGCTTGAGTGATCCTAACGATGATGAATATAGATCATATCGCCACCGGTGTCACTTAAAAGATGTCACAAATATTATAAGTATCTTTGGAACAGTTTCTTCTACTGGTGATACCATGGAAAAAGAAAATGTTTTCTGTTATTTGCAGGTCGCCGTAGAATAGTTGTCAAGATCTCCTCTGCCTTATACATATTTGAAATATCAGCCGAACGAATGTGGAGAAAGCGTGGAACAAGGGACAAGGAAATCTAAAGGCAATGGATTCAATAGAAAAAATCTCTACATTATATAGAATAAGGCTGAAAAATGTATTATTATACTCAAAACAATATGATAATGTTAATGACGTCAAACAATGATGATGAAGATAATGATGTTTTAAAAGAATACAATGATAATAAAGATAATGATAATTTTAAAGGCCTGGCCTACAAACTTTTTAGCTAATGTTTATGAACCAAATTATGACATAATCTAAAACAATTTCATTTTTTTTTTTTTTGAAGAGTTGAATGAAAAGTTGTAATACGTTTTAATTATTTGTGAGGCAATTGCAAAGACGCACACATGTCCGACTCGATATTCAGACCATCCATCTTTTATGACTAACTACATTTATGTTCATACAAATGTACATACATATGTATGTATATTACAAACAAATGTAAGTACGTATCTAGTATTTATATGAACAATTTATCATTTGGCATCTTCTATAGACAATTGCAAACGTATGCATTAGGCTTTTGGTATTGCAGCTTAATGCAATATCATCATCCATCGCATTGAATCGTACGCATAATAATGTGAGTAACTAAGTGGTCGGCCAGTCCACAGTCATCGTAATGACTTTAAGTGCAGCTGTTTCTTAAGACTCGCTGGGTCTTACAAATGTTCGATGATTTTTTTCTACTTTTTTTTTTTGGTTTAATATTTATTCGTATTTACTTGGAAGTGTTGTTTCTTGCTACTGTTTTTGTGGTTACTTGATTTTGTTGCCGTCATCGTGGTTTAAAAGTTGTCTGCTCATCACCTGTAGTTATACGTTCGTATGCCAGTTTTAAATTAAACTCAATTGGTTGGTGTAAATGTTGTAAATATTTATGTACAATATCGATTGTATGAGGATGGACTCTGTTTAAACATACATATGTACATGTTGCAGTTACATACAAACCTATTCTCAAAATGCAGTTTTTGAAATCGAAAAAGTGAAAGGATTTTCGTATCTTAAGGTTGTCAAATACAATGTAAGTGTGTATGTATGTTTAAATGTATATACGAATGTATCTTGCAATGTAAGTGGGTATGTGGTGAGTAAGTAGTTTGAAAAGTGTCATCATTATTTCCAATTAATTTAGATCTGTAATGCAACAATTTAAAAATTTTTCATTTAATTACAATTAAAATTAATACATAATAATGATACAATTGTAAATATCTTATACGTTGAACAATTATAACATTATATATAAATGAGGTCAAGGTTTTTTACATTTGAAGAACTATTTCGTTTTGGCAATTTATGGAACATCATTAAATGGATATAGTTTACAAACTGTAAATATTTAAAAAATCGAACTTCTTGTTACTTAATTTAAGGAAAGAGAGTATTGCCTCTATCTATCTATTATCTATCTATCTATCTATCTATCTATCTATCTATCTATCTATCTATCTAATCTATCTATCTATCTATCTATCTATCTATCTATCTATCTATCTATCTATCTATCTATCTATCTATCTATCTATCTATCTATCTATCTATCTATCTATCTATCTATCTATCTATCTATCTATCTATCTATCTATCTATCTATCTATCTATCTATCTATCTATCTATCTATCTATCTATCTATCTATCTATCTATCTATCTATCTATCTATCTATCTATCTATCTATCTATCTATCTATCTATCTATCTATCTATCTATCTATCTATCTATCTATCTATCTATCTATCTATCTATCTATCTACTATCTATCTATCTATCTATCTATCTATCTATCTATCTATCTATCTATCTATCTATCTATCTATCTATCTATCTATCTATCTATCTATCTATCTATCTATCTATCTATCTATCTATCTATCTATCTATCTATCTATCTATCTATCTATCTATCTATCTATCTATCTATCTATCTATCTATCTATCTATCTATCTATCTATCTATCTATCTATCTATCTATCTATCTATCTATCTATCTATCTATCTATCTATCTCTATCTATCTATCTATCTATCTATCTATCTATCTATCTATCTATCTATCTATCTATCTATCTATCTATCTATCTATCTATCTATCTATCTATCTATCTATCTATCTATCTATCTATCTATCTATCTATCTATCTATCTATCTCTATCTATGTGTTTCCAAAGTTCAATTGATTTGCTGAGGATTACTTGACTCTATCAAAATACTTCAAATAC